ATTATCGAGCGGAGTCTCGAGTCTCGATTGGAGACTATGTAATCACCCTGAGATTGATGTTGGTATAAATGTCTTCCTGAAGGTCGCACCACTGAGGGGTGTGGCTCGCTTCGGGAAGAAGGGGAAGCTTCAACCTCGCTATATCGGGCTCTTTCAGTATCTCGCACGAGTCAAAGACTTGGCCTATCGGTTAGCTTTACTGCATGTGTTGTCGGAGTGTATGACCCCGAACACGTAGTGACTTCGTCGAGTTGCAGGTCGAGTGAGGCCTTACCTATGAGTAGGTACCGGTGTTCGTACTGGACCAGAAGGTTCATCAGCTGAGGACCCAGGCAGTTGATCTTGTCAAGGTGCAATGGAACCGGCACGGCAAGTCCGAGGCGACTAGGGCGACTGAAACCCGGATTAGGAGGAGATATCCGAACTTCATGTTTGATGTGGTATGTTAGAGTTTGGATGTTTTTAGTTTCGAATTCCGAGGACGAAATTCTTTTTAAGGTGGGTAGACTGTAATACCCCGTTTATTTGTGAATTATTTAGGATTATTTATTTATTGTATCATAAATATTATTCCTTTTGATTATCTAATTGTCATTATCTGTTTAAATGATTATTATTATTATTGGGGTAAATAACTTTTTCCAACCTGTACTATGCGTGCTTTTGGGATTTTCAACCTAAAGTATTTTTTTTTTTTTTTGGTAAAATACAACATGAACTACATATATAAAATTATTTGCACGCTCGACTACTTTTTGACCATTCGATCCACAGCAAAAAAGGACATGTGTATGGTCAAGATGTGGTCGAGCGTGCAAATAGTGATTGTATATATAGTTCAGGTTGCATTTTACAACAAATAATACTTTAGGTTGAAAATCCCAAAAGCACGTATAGTACAGGTTGGAAAATATTATTTACCCTTATTATTGTCCTTCTAGATATTATTTGTCTAATTTATTATGATTGCCAAATTGATTAATTATATTTTTGGATTAATAATACTATTATTTATGATTGTTATTATTATTATATTATTTGTCAAATTGTAATTATATGCTTATTATAAAATAAATATTGTGTGTAGTGTATATATATAATTATAATGTTCAGTAGATTTAATAATCGCGAGTCGTATTTTAATTATCGAACGTTCGTGTCGGGCATCGATTATTTATTATTGTAGAACCGAGAACCCGCGCCACACACTCGGTCCCACCCGCCCATTTCTCTCTTGGATAGCTTGTTGACCATGGTTAAGTCTAACCCTAAGATTAGTCTATTTAATCTCCTAATAACCCCAACTCTTTACTCCTTAATCCCGCAGCCTTCCCTATCTCTTTCCCTCTCGTTTGATCGCAGCAAATCTGGAAAAGAGAAATCTCTCATCGTTTTCTCTCGCAAAATCCCGTCGCACTCTCACAGAGAATAAAACAAAAAATTTTTCCCCAGCTATCGCCTCTCCCGCTGGCGAGTTGTCCACAGCGTGAGCCTACAATCCCGTCGTCATCCTCGTGAGATTCCGATCACCACCATCATCGTCGGCCTGCTCTCCTTCCACGTCGCGACTAGAGGTCCTCCTTCCCGCTCGCGACTAGAGGTCCTCCTTCCCGCTCGCGAGCCCGTTCTCCGCCTGCAATTGATCCTCCGCCATCACAGTCCCTTTCCGGCGAGCACTCATGCGGCCAGCGACTGCAACTCCAACGCCGCAACCCGCCATCAACCTCCACGCACAGACGACCACGTGCAGCGATTCCGGCGACTTTCCGTTCGCGAGCAGGCCACCAGCAGCGACTACGAGCACCTCCTGTGATGACCCTCTGTTTCCTCGCGCATCCCCTGCTCGCATCGTCATCTTCTCCACAAGTAGGACTAGTCGCTGCCACCATCTCCGGTGAGTTTCCTCACTCCGTCGTCCATCGCCGGACCATCAGCGGTTGTCTCCGATGCCTTTCCGGTCATCGCAAGGTCCCAGCAGGCTGTTTCCATCGCCAAATGAGCCACCCCGCAAGCCGTTATCGTGACCCCAACGAGCGTACTCCCGGCCTCCGAACAACCCGTCTCGGCCACCATTTCGTTCGTCGTCGTGTACTAATCCCGAGAACGGTACCGAAATACGGTTCCCTTTTCATTTTTCGTGTGTTTCGGGCTTTGGAAATATCTCGTTGTTAGGGCTCGTATTTTAATTGTTATATGTGTTAATTGGGTGCTTAATTGATAATTTTTATATGTGATTGTGTTGTTGTGATATATTACATGTTAATTACTGAACATATGAATTAGGAAGTTGATTATGTGCCTTGCGTGTTTTTATCGAGTCGTATTATGAATTTATATGCGTTTTGAATATAAAAGTGATTGCCGTCACTTTGGTTGTTATCGAACTGAGTTTCGAGTGATATTAATCGTGGAAATCCTGGAGTTATAGGTACTTGGAGCTTTCCTTGAGTTATTGGTTTTGGTTTGGGGTCGTTTCGATGTGTATATGCCAAATTATGAATTTTCTAAACCAAGCATGCTGCTGAATGGTAATTAATTCATGTTAAATTGTGTGATTGTCCGACTACCATGAAATTTTATATGTGATGTCCTGTGATGGTTTTGTAAGTCGTGTAAAATATTCAAGTCGAAACTCCATCTGTAGCTATTTTAATTAATTAAATCAGTTTCTGGTTAGAATTTTATAAAATTCATTAAAAATCGTACACCTGGAGTTTTGAGCTGAAACTTTGAGAAGTATGTTATTTTGTGGTATTCTGTGTTGTGTCAAAAATTTGGATTAAAATTCAAAGTGTAGCTATATGAACTATTAATGTCGGGTTTTGACACTGTTTTTGCTTAAATTATTTAAAAATGATCCCGGATGAATTTAGGGCTGAAACTTGGTGAGATTATGTGTTTTTGTATGCCTTGTGATGAGTTAAAGTTTCAGGTTGATTGGTTGAGTCTAACTCCGGATTCTGAATTTTGTTTATTTTGGAGTCTTAATGCTCGGTTATCCGATTGTCTAGGTTCGGGTTTAATTTTACTGATGATGGCATGATTTATGTGTATTATTTGAAGTATTTAAGTTGTGTTCAGTTCTAGTAGTCACTCCAAAGTACTTAACTCGGTCAAGGAATCCACGAGTCACTTAGTCGATATGATTTCGGCTAAATATATGTGCTTTGTGTGTTGTCTTGTAT